CTGTTCTTTTCTTTTTTCCTTTTTTTTGTGTGGTGGGGGGGGGGGGGGGGGAGGAGTAGTAATTGATGCAAACCTGCTGAATCAATCTAAGTTGGTGTGAGCTGAAACCACTCAGAAGAAGGGAAGGACGCATTTTGAAGAAATCAGTCCGGAATTGTAGCTTGCAGTTCGAAGAGTTTTCCTCAAAGTGGTAGTCACAGTTTTGGTTCCTCAACAAACTGTCACGCCATTCACTAAGTTTAATCTTCATCCTCTCGGTAAAAAGAATGTCACCAAAACTCACCAGGGGCATTTCTCTAGTTTCCTTTGGATTACATTCAGAATAGGGTAAATGGTCGACATCTGCTAGACCTAACTGATGCAGTGCTTCAGCTTCTTGTGCTCTGGACAAATAAGATATTCCTGTGAAGACCCACGAGATGTGAATACTCGTACGTATACCATGTATGCTGACGAGGTATATTACAAGAACATAGACTAGTTAAACCAAAAAAAAAACATGTGATCCTTAGACACTAAAATGAAAAGTGAGAAACAAAACACCTAAGGCAACACTGAAGTTGAAAATTTGAAAGTGTGATCTTAACATAAGTACACGTAGTACAAATTTGCAAGAAGAACATTTCACAATGATGTTAACTACAGGAGCCAGAGAAATTTTGATCTCCATACAGTTAGTCAGGAAAGAGAGAAAATATTGGTCTATCTTACCTTCATGTATGCAAGCATTGAAATCAAATTGGTGTCTGGCCAAAAACTCAATTGAAGTTGTTTGGCAGAGAAATTCACAGGAGGGAAAATCGATCGGAAGCTCTTTACGGGGAAATATATAGAAACTGTGCCTAAAAAGCAAATTAAACATTTAGTATAATACCATAAATCAAATAATGACCACCAATTCTTTGCAAAATAATGCAGCAAACAAAATAAATGGAAAAGACAAAGAAGTGTATTAGACAAGAAACATGACATAGTTGTCCCAAGTTCGAATCCTATGCTGAGCTATCCCAAAAGAAACAAAAGGAAATATCACATGGTTCAATGTTACTACAAAGTTACCAGACCATGTTGTATGGACAGGTATGGGAAGTCAGATTCCTCATGCCATGAAGAATAAGATTCGGCGGCAAGGTGATATTTTAAGATATAACTAACATTATCTTCTAATATTCCATTTCATATAAGTAGCCCACAGAAAAAAAAAAAAAACAAATATACTTAATTAGCCGAACTCATACAAATGTTTGAAATTCATGTCCTACCCAATTAAGATAAGATGACCAACGACATATATCAATGATTTAGACAATTGTAAACAGTGTTTCAAAAAACGCTAGGTGGCCGGAGGGGTCCAGGCTGCCCAGCGCCTAGGCGGGCGCCTAGAACCTGGGCGGCCCAGTAGAAAAAAATTTGTTTTGGGGTTTTCTCTCTCTCTCTAAAATAAGCTCTAATGGGATTTAGGTTTGATATGAACCTAAAACCCACAATTTTGCCTCTTTAGTATTAAAAAAATGACCTAAAAATGCCCAACGAGGGGCATTTCTACCCCTGAAAGGGGCGCAAGCCTTGAGCGGCTGCCGCCTAGGCAGGTTCCCAGGCACCCAGGGATATCCACCTAGGCCTGGGCGATGCACCCAAGCCTTCCGGACCACTTAGGCGGGCAGCCCAGGAGGTGGGCGGTCCGTTTTTTAAAACACTGATTGTGAAAGTGAAATGATCCACCACAATGGGATTGAGACACAGCCCAGACTTAAAAGAACAACAATCCTGAAGCATCTATGCTGCTATGTGTGCCAATGAGTCCAAAATGGGTATAACACCCAAACAAAAGAATCCATGTAACAAGTTACTGGAAGAAACACATAATATGTTGCATCATTTGTGGTTGGCTGGTAAGGAATAATATCCTATCATGTGGTATGTTAAACAATCATGGGGAATTTATCAAAATACACCTAACTTATCAATTGTTTAACATTTTACCCATTTTTACCTATTCCAAATCATGATCATATGTATTTTGATGGGATTTTGAAATTAAATCAAAAGAAATGGGTAAAAAAAAGGCAAAATACTTTGATAAATTTCCCAAGAATCAAACAATTTTTGCAGCTCCATCATACAAGGCACAACTATTTCCTTAGATTTATATATAGAGATATCAATGAGAGATATGCGGCAAGGCCTGGGAACTCGCCCCCTAGTGAGCCAAGTGACTTGGACAGCTTCCAATCCACTCGCACAAGTCCACACGGAACAAACAAAAGCTGAGAAAATTTTGGAAAAAATAGAAAATAATGCAATTCATTTTCTGAGAGAAAATAAAAAAAATTTAGAAAATAATTCAATTCATTTTCTGAGATCAAATGAAAAAAGTTAAAAAAATATTAAAGCAATAAAAAATAAAACATAAATTCAAATCAAATTATAATTGATCAAGTAAAAAACAAATTAAATATATGGATTTAAATTGAAAAAAAATTAAACTTACCCAAAATTTTGAGGTTGATCACCTAATTTCGCACTCATTGTGAATTTCCTTTCAAAGCTTCATCAACAACCCAATCAAAACCCCAAACCAGATTTGGGTTTCAAGTTTGGATCTTGGTGATTTGAGCCCTTGAGATTGGATGAATAGTAAATCTCTTAAATCCTAAAAGTTTTGCTGGATTTTGTGAAAAACACGCCTATGGTTGGATGTAGAACCTAAAAATAGGTTTAGGAAACAACAACAACAAAGATCCACCATCCATTGCAAAGAAATTGCAGCTTTACGAAATCAGGCAAAGCTTGGGTCGAAATCAATCGATCTATCAAATTTGTCAAATTTGATCTTTTCTTTTTTTCTCGTCAAATCTGATATCTCGCCTGAGTGAAGCACATTTTTTATATACCCTTCGGATTGGGGGTGTTATGGGCTCGACAGGCAGCAGGGCCTAAGTGACTCACCTGATTTTGAGAACACTGGGGCAAGGCAACTTTTCTTACAGTACTAACTATTTCCACTTGATAAGCCATAGCAGTGAGTTGGAAATCATGGTTGACTCTCCTTCTAACAGATTATGCATTACGGATCTCATATCCTGTTTCATACTATTATGTATAGGTCTCTCCCTCCCTCTCTTTTTGATCGGTTCGCCATGTATAGTTCGTCAAAATTATTTTTGGGTTGTACAATTAGGTCACAAATGGATAACATAATCATAAAAGATGGGGCCACAGGTCATTGATAGCGTTCCTATGCTTCGATCATATGATGTGACGACAATAAAAATTATTGAAAACATTTCTATGGGCGATGATCCCAATTGTTGGAAGTGAACTTGGAGCATAAAATATACAACTTATGAGAAAACAGATGAAGATTGAGACCACTCCTATGGGAACTAAACCTTTTTCTAGGGGAATTGGGTGACAAGCAATAGGAATTAGGGATAGGCATATATCAAGTTGCATACAGATGCAACCACGGTGGCATATGTAGGAAATACTTTGTACACGTTTTATATTGAGGTAACATCTCGACAGTTTATTAGGAGTAAAATAAAGTACAACAAATATAAGTTCCCCTGAGATGTTGAAGAAAGCTATAAAATACACATAATAAATGATGGAAATATCTGATACACCCTTTTGTCTAAACAATCACCCTCCACCCTCATTTGCTTTTCTAGGATTATGCTCGAACTTTACCAGGAGTTATCCAAAATTTAACATAAAACATCTAATTCAGCCATTATCTAAATCACCCTCTGTGGTCCATAGTACTCCATGTGGTCTATAGTACTCCATGAGAATCGAATTAATCACATTGAGATAATCCCCTTGCACTGTGAATGGCAACAATCCTCAATGCAACACAATTGCCATACCCATATGAAGAGGTTTAGCCTCCTCCAAGGTGCAGGCACTCACATCCAAGGAACATTTCCCACCAGGCCCCCCATACACTGCAGCTGTGGATTGCCACAAAAGCGCCAATCCTTTCTTTTATGTTATAGTTAGTGACTCATTAAAAGTACGATCTATATATATTGAGTGTATATAGATAGGACGGATTATTAGAATTTCAACAATCACATATTATCAAATGGACTTATCTTTGTAATCCATGGCCGCAAAATGTACAGATATCCCACACCCTCTTTGTTATTTAATTTCCTCTTAATTTACATGTGTACTCAATTTTTCTCTTTTCACTTTGCATGTAATTTTATTTGCTGCTAATGTTCATTGACTGGACTTAGTGAAGTTTCTAGTTTATAGAAATTCAAGCTAATTGGCTGAAGACAATGTTTCTGTAGATAACTTCTCTTAGATTTATGCAGTGGAAGATGCTCAGCAGTGATAGACCAATGGTTTTATAACCTCATTAAAACTCATAGCATAATCATTCTTTTATAGATCAGATAATATCATAGTATATTCATTCTTCGATGGTTCAAATAAATGGACTCTCTATCCTAACAAGTACTTGAGCTATAACTTGGACACTTACAAGACTAGGCAGCTTACTAGGCTTTTCTTTTTAACAATCCATGCATGATCATCAATACTCTGCTAATGCTTTGACAAATTTCAAGACAAGATTTTTTAATCTAAATACTGAACTGTCACTAGTTAACGAGTTCAAATTGGGGATAGCTCCCTTTAGCTACATTTAAGACAAGTTAATCAATGAAAGCAAGGAGAGAAAAGAAAAGAAACAATCTCCCATTTGAAGATAAAATGCAATCAAGTGTACATGAGATAAATTACTTGGAATTAAACAAGCTAAATATGAATGTGGGTACATGTCCATCTCTCTCTCTCTCACAAACAGAATCAACCAAAAACCAATCGAAGAGAGAAAAAGTGAGCTTACGGATAAGCAATTAGGGTTTTTGTTGAATTATCATAGCGAAAAGGGCAAACCCCAAACTGAACAACGGCAAATTTCTCGGCCGAATCTTTGATCTTCAAATACCTAATGGTCGAATGATCAAACTCAAAGGACTCTCTCCATGGAGCACTGGTAATACCACTCATCTCCAAATCCAAGGCTACAAAATCAGCTTCTCTGACATGGTGGCGAAGCTCTTCGAAAGAAGAAGTAAAGTTGTTTCTTGTGACTTTCTTGATAGAGATAGTGGAAAAGTAGTGAGAGAAGAAGTTTCTTGAGGGGAAGCTACCAAAGAGGGGAGCGAAAACCCTACTTTTACATGGGTTCGCCATTTTCGTCAGCTGTTCGGTACCATTCCAGAGGGGGAGAGAGCGCGCGCAAATGAGCAGCAATGGAGAAGAAAGAGGCGGGCAGAGAAAAGGTCAATTCCTTTGGGTTGGAGTGTATGACAGTAACAGTATGCAAACACGGTGATAGCAAGAGAGCAGTATCAAATTGGAAATCTTAATGCAGGACCGTTACTAGTTGCTATAAGAGTCCCGGTTGGAGTCAAGACCATCAAGGTATCCTATTGAATCTCTTTAAGTTCGTGTTATAAAAGTACGGTGCACTTAAAAAAGGTTATTTTGGCGATAGAAAACATTCTGATTGATCATCTCCAGCTTGATATATATGGATATGAAAGAGAAGGATTTCAACTGTTAAAACTATTTCATAATATAATATTTATCTAGATCATTCATTTTTTAATATTTTCAAGAATTTATAGATCTATTTGATCGGCACCATTTTTGGAACTTTAAATTTTATAGTTATGATTGAAAATAGATTCTTCATTTCATAAGTTTTTGACACCCGAAGTTGTGTCTTCCAACATAATTTGAAGGGGCACTTTACTTTGATCGTTTGTGGTAACCGCCTTGTATAAAGTCTGGACTATTAATATATCCACTGAATTCATTAAAGAAAAAGTTCATGAAAGGTGTCTACCTTATATTGTTGAAGGTTAATTGGTTAGCATTTGACAATTTTCGATGCTTCTCAATTCCTGCCAAAGGTAGAAGCCCTTCCCCACAAACTCACTCAAAAAAATAAAAAAACAAAAAAAAAATAAGATGCACTTCAAAAAGCCACCGAAAAAAGTTATTTGGGTGCTAAAAACCTTCTAATTGTTCGTCTTGAACTCGATATATATATATATATATATATGGAAAACACTACGCAACGTCTACATGCGAAAATGAACAGTGATTTCGCCTACTCCTATTACCGTCAAAAGTTCATCACGTGATCACGATTGTCAGGTAGTGTTTCATTTTTTATTTTTTTTCTACTAATCAGAATGACTTGAAATTTGGAATATGTATTCATAAAAAATAAGGGAATCATAAAAAATTATAAAAAAAATATTGATCAAAATACCCCTGAAATGTTTTGAGGGTATTTTGATCAATTTATTTTTTATAATAATATTTTTTATATTTTTATTAGATCCACCTCAATAAGATATACATACCTTCCAAACTTCATATCATTCTAATTTGTAGAAAAAAAACTGAAAAATAAAATACTACTAAACAATGTGACTGTGAGATGAAATTATATATATATATATATATATATATATAAGGTAAAAACCCTTGAATGCCTTTCTCTTCCTCATCCCACTGCTTTCAAAATAATCGAATATGATGCCTCCGATAAAGGACTTGGTGGTATACTCAAACAACAGGTAGATACCAAAGAACAATTAATACGATATACTTCAAAGGCTTGGAATTCTACCCAATTAAATTATTCAATGGTGAAAAAAGAGTTATTAGCCATTGTTCATTGTGTTACAAAATTCCAAAGTGATATTTTAAATCAACCTTTTCTTATACGCACAGACTGCAAAGCAGCCAAAGATATTTTGCAAAAAGATGTTACAAATTTGATTTCTAAACAAATATTTGCTAGATGGCAAGCCATCCGTT